TGATAACGGTGAGTGGTTACTTCATTTGTGTGAAGATGCTCACTTATTTCCGGAGGGTGACTTAGCGCCCACTAGCCTCGAACCAACTATGGACGCAAATTGATCACATTGTGATAAGTTACCGATGGAGAGGCTGCGTCCAGAACTGTCGCTCGATTTGGCGCACATGTGTGGACACCGACCATGCACTTGTATGTGCTGACCTGCGGACGCCCACATCGACGGTGTGAGCCCATTGACACCAGCCAATTGGCGAAGCCAGTTGTTCTGAATGCCTATCAAAGTACGCTGTCATGCGAGTTCAGCAAGCGCTCACTAGATGCAGTTGAAGCTCACCAGACCTTACTAACAGCAGGAAAATGCTCATGTGGAAAGTATAATCGCCAACATGGAGTTTGGGTCTCTTCGCAGTCTCTGGAACTTATCGATGCTCGTCGGCATATTCCGGCTGGATGCGAACACAATGAAACTCGCAAAGAGCTCCAGGCAAAACTCCGTGCTAGCCTGAAGAGAGATCGCGAATCCTGGTGGTCTCATCGTGCTTCAGAGATGGAAATGGCCGCTACCCTCGGTAACCATCTTAACTTATTCCGGCTGATACTGGAAATGGGCAGCTGGAGACCTGGTGTTAGTGAAACTATACGTGACGAGAGTGGACAGCCTACCCACAACTTGTCAAAACGCTTGGAGCGTTAGGCTGAGCATTTTGAAAGGCAATTTAATCGGTCGGAATTGTTAGATTTCTCGCCGGCCACTGATCGACCCGCTCCCTGGGCTGTCCATTTGGATCCACCCTCTCGCGCAGAAGTCGAATATGAGATGACCTTGCAGATGACATTCCTCCAGCCCTCTTCAAATTCGGGGAACCTGCTCTTGTGGACGATTTATACGAGTTACTAGTGAAACTGTGGGAGCAGGAAACTGCCCCAACCAACTGGAGCCGCTCCGTCATAGTCACACTTTTCAAGGGAGGCTCACGATCGGAATGCAGCAACCATAGAGGAATCAGTCTGATCTCTATCGCCTCCGAATTGCTTGCGTCTGTCATCCTTTACAGACTAACTGGCACTCGTGAAAACCAGATTCGTGAAGAGCAAGCCGGGTTTCGTCGAGGTCGTGGATGTATTGACCACATCTTCACTTTGCGTCAGTTGTTGGAGCACCGTCACATATATTGGCGGCCCACCGTTGTCGTGTTCCTGGATATCAAAGGTGCATTCGACTCGGTGGATAAACGTGCACATTGGGATCGCCTAGTCAGGAAAGGTGTACCTGGGAAATATGTAAATATTATCCGATCATTGTACGCGCGTAGCTCAGGCAGAGTGAGGGCTTACGGCAATCTGCCACCGCCCTTTAATATCTCCAGCGGTGTGAGACAAGGATGCCCGTTGTCACCTTTCCTCTTTAACTTCGCTATTAACGAAGTCATGGAAAACACGTTCACAGGACACGACTTAGACGTGGCGTGGATCTGCTTCCAGGAGAACGACTTCTTGACTTAGAGTATGCTGATGATATTGCCCTCATCTGTGACAGCTCACATATGTGCTAAGCAGCACTGGACAGATTAACACTGGCTGTCCGATACTTTGGGCTTTGCTTCGCGCCCTCGAAGTGTAAAGCGTTCCTCTAAGATTGGTCTGGACCACCTCCTTCGCTGACCCTTAGTGGGGATCAGCTAGAAGTCGTTCAAAAATTCAACTACCTGGGAAGTTGTATCAGCGCCCTTGGGATCGAAGACGAGATCACGAACCGTATAGCAAAAGCTCGAGGCGCTTTTGCTAACCTTCGCCACTTATGGCGCCGGCGCGACATCACTGTCGCCCTGAAGAGTAGTGTACAATGCAGCGGTACGCTCGACCCTACTGTACGGTTGTGAAACGTGGCCCCTTAGAGCAACGGACATAAAGAGGCTAGTTACGTTCGACCACCGGTGCCTTCGGAGTTTGGGTCACATCTGGTGGGAACACCGATTAAGCGACGAGCGTATTCGACGCCTTGTTTACGGCACAGGAAGAGGAACTGAACCGCTCAGCACCGTTATTTCACGCACCAGGCTCCGATGGCTCGGTCACATGTTACGCAAGCCAGCCCACCGACTCCCTCGACGTACGTTGTTTGCGTTCCGAGGGTGTGGATGGAAGAAGAGGAGAGGTGGCCAAGCGATGACTTGGTCGAGAGGAATGAAAGCCCTCACTTCTGTGCTGGCCTCGGTTGGAGCATCTCGGCTCCCTGGTTGGGGTCCGAAAGACGATGAACACGTTTGGCTGGATACACTTGCTGATATGGCTAGGAGCCGACCTAAGTGGCGTTCGTGCTGTGACTTTCTTTGTCCTACACCATCCCTCCCCTTCCAACCACGATCTTACTATTTAGCCTCATATAATTTTGCATAGTAATTTTTTGCTGCACAGTAGCCGGCTGGTAGCTTACCGCAACGAGTCCTATCCGTTACCGGTAGCTCAGCTGACTTGCACCTGTTGCTTTTTCTCCTTTTTTCTATGTATTTCGGCACAGTAGCTGAGCTGTTTCTCACCTCTACCTAACGTGTACAAAATATGTCTCACGTTGAGGTGCTGCCTGGTGAAAGGCTGGTTGATCTTGATTACGCGGACGATATCGTTTTGCTATTTAACGACATTGGGGCGGTTCAATCAGCCCTGAATAATCTCTCTAGAGTGGTCCCATCATTTGGCATGCGCTTCGCACCCTCAAAGTGCAAAGGGCTGTTTCAGTACCACCAGCCACTTGATGCCCCCTTGACTCTAGATAGCAAGGAACTCGAGGTAGTTGATCAATTCACTTACGTTGGCAGCTGTATCAGCAATGATGGGCGCGTAGCTACTGAATTCAGTTCAGTTTTGCATTTGCCAGAACTGCCTTTTTGAATCTGCGACATCTTTGGCGACAGAAAGCGGTTCCCTCCGTCTGAAACGCGGTGTTTACAAGGCCACAGTGAGGTCCGTCCTACTCTATGGGAGTGAGACTTGGCCCCTCCGATTTGGGAACCTGCGGCGCTTCCAAGTCTTTGATCACCGTTGTCAGCGGAGCGTTACTGGTGTCGGATGGCACCAGCGTGTCCGCAATGATGATATGCGTACGCGAGTACTAGGCAGTGATAACAGGCCAGTTCCTTAGAACAACAGATAGCACTGAATAAGTTGCGTTGGCTTGGGCACGTACTACGTATGCTTGGTCACCGCTTACCGATGGCCTTGTTTTGTTTGCTGCAAGACCAAAAGTGGGCAAAAATTAACTTAGTAGCGGGAAATGAAGTCACTGACGACTCAACTCGGTGCTGTCGGTCCGTCTCGCCTTCCATGCTGGAGTACACGTGACCCACCTTGTGCTTGGCTGGAGACGTTGCAGGACATGACTCGCAGTTAGCACCATTGATGTGTATGCTGTCGTCTCCCAGTCGGACTGTCTGTTTAAAGTGTGTCTGGTATTGAGTTATCTGCGGGGTAATTGCTGAGTATGACGCGGGGCAGTGAAATCCGCAGAGAAGTTGTCTCGGCGATGCCGCCTTATCTTTGTGTGATGATCAACTGCTTGTGATGGCATGTTGTTGACAAAGTGTATCCGCCTTGACCCTTTCTTTCCCTCTTATTCTTCTTCGTGCGGTAGGTCACCGTGGTTGTACGGCAGCGAAGCATCAGTCCAAATGGTTAATGTACTGCTGTTGATGACGATGTGTCATGCTTACATTTGATGAGGTCTGTTCTTTGATCTTCCATTCCATTATTGTGACAAATTGTCGGAACCGGAGGCAGAGTTTCTCAAAGCACTTCATGGCGGGTTGCGGGGACATTTTGAACTATACGTTGTGTGATTTGATCGTGACGCGCAACCTCAATGTAGTCCCTGATTCGTATTGAAGTGAAGTCATGGAGTGCAGTGTTTTCGAGCGGACAACACCCAGTTTCCTTCCACTTCATGGTTTCTTTAAATTCGTTTGGGCAACGTAACTGCACAACACAAGTCATCGATGCAAGCTAAGTATGCACACGGAAGTTGGTCACAGCCGACTGCGTTGGTTTGCCGAAGTTGTAAACGGAACACTTGTTACTATATCCAAATACGCGCGTAAGACGGACTCTTCAACAAATACGATGCCATCCTGACAAGCTGTGTCACGCAAGGCTCATCACGCATCTCTGACTCGCTTGACTAAGCCATTCCGCTGCACACTTCCAGAGGGCATTGAGTTGTTTCTTAGGTACCGAAAGTGACCTTACAGTATGCCGTCAATCCAGACCGTCGCTACGCTGCAGTTCCGGATTCACATTTCCGTTCGCTCATTGCTAATGTCACGTAACAGTTACGCAACATTTTAACGAAAGGCTGACGATTTATCCCTTATCATATCAGCTTGTAAACTGCTTTGCTGTTAACATTTATATGCTCATCATCCCCATTATTCAAATAAATGCACTCCTGCAATGGAATACTGGTATAACTTTTTCAAATTGTTCACAGAACATCATATGTGCATAATTCTGATTAACCTGTGATCAATTTATCGGGTTCAATCATTCTGCAATGTTCGTATCTCTTAAAAATCGAAAAATTATCTGCATTTAGGTATTTAATTCCGACACGGTTTCGTCCATACAAAATTTTATCCCCTATTAACCAAATTCTCTCCTAATTTTTGTTAATGCGTCGTAGCGTTGCACTATCACAGGAAACCGCTGTTCTACTGTTGTTACTGACTGTGTTGACACGGGATGACTCAGTTTGACCACGTGGGAATCAAGCATCGGTTACATTTTTTTGCTAAATTTTCATTTCTTTGTTCGATTATTAGCTTGAATGTTCGTTTGCAGTTGAGCATGCACACCCTGTTTGTCAGCTGAACTCCCCAATACAGTTGCGGTATCTGTTCCTCTTATCCCCCTTATTGACTTACACCCATTCCTCAGTCATCTGATCTTTCACGACCACTGCAACCGTACATCCCTCTTTAACGCAACTCATATCTGATTTCTTTATAGGTCACTACGGAGAGCACCTGTTACGGGTGGGGCGCTGTGATAAACCTGAAGAAACGTCAGCGTGAAGATCGTGCATCAGCTCCGGAATCCTTCTACCTCATAGATTGCTTGCTGTCTCCGCCATCGCAAAAGAATGATGTTACGGATCAACAACAAGATCCCTCAAATCCGGACACAGCAGAGCCATGCGCGGAAGTTATCCCCGTTCGACTGGATTGTGTGGTGGGCATCAGCGCGGTACGACTCATGGTTCCCAACAATCTGTTGTCAAAGCAAGCCAGGATCAGTGTTTTAAATGCGATTGAAAAGGTCACTTCACGTATGGGCGGCGTGTTACCACCGCTGGATCCGGTAGAGGACATGCGTATTACGGACTCAAGGTTCTTGGAAGTCAACGAGGTTTGTTGGATACGATACACCCTTTTAAACCTTGCTTATGCTTTTGTCAGTTCGACAATTGCGACCCACTTTGCTTTGAATGGTGTTTTATGTAACTATGCCTCATTTTATGTTTTCAACTTATGAAAGCCTATCTCTGTTGACGTCCTGTTAGCGTTGTAGGAACTGCCACATCTTCACACCCTTCTCTATTACCATTGATCCCTACTCACTAGTACCATAGCGGTCCTAACAGCTCGAATTCCCCATCGTTTCCGCGTACCCCCACATTTAGTGCTAATCACATGGGTTTTCCCACTCCCATCCATCCAAACCGTGTCTGGACCTTGTTGGTCTCCAACGTGCTATCACAACTCTTGACGACTGTTGTTGCCTTTTGCAGAAAGTCAAGGCATTTGAAGAGCGTCTGCAGCACCATTGGCTTCACGATGACCCTCGATTGCCTGAGTTACTGAAAGCCTACGAAATGAAAGAGCAACAACGCAAGCGCATTGAACTTCTCACAACCAATCTGTCAAACAAGGTATCTTTAGTTCAATTGGAGGAACTGTCCGCCCGGAAACGCGTATTACGACGTTTGAACTTCGTTTCGGAACACGATGTGATCGAGTTGAAGGGATACGTAGCATGCGAAATCACCTCAGCGGATGAGTTATTACTCACTGAGCTCTTGTTTGATGGTGTCTTCAACAATTTGTCCTCAGAGCACATTGCTGCCCTACTCTCATGTTTTGTGTTCGAAGAGCGCGCGTCCACCATGCCGAAACTGACGAAGGAACTCTCAGATGCGCTTAGAACGCTGCAGGTAAGTGGAACGCCCCCGAGCAATCCTTATTATGATATCTGTAGTAGGCTTTTTTCAATCGGTCTTTTACCATCTTATCGTCACATCTTACATTGTCTTTCTAGGAAACGGCCCGACGAATTGCTCGCATTTCCAACGAGTGTCGACTCACTGTCGATGAGGATGCTTACATCGACTCCTTCAAACCACATCTCATGGATCTAGTGGATGCTTGGACTCGTGGTGCTTCATTTGCCAAAGTGTGCTCTATGACAGATTTGTTCGAGGGCACTATTATCCGTACTCTTCGCCTGTTGGAGGAGTTGCTCCGGCAAATGGCGAATGCTGCGCGCACAATCGGTAGTGTCGCTCTGGAGGAGAAGTTTAACGAAGGTGAGCGGAGATGAGGTCTCATTTCATCCTAGGACTGCTGGCTCACTGTGTGTAGAAGACTAATGGATCCGTCACGTTCCTATTGTTGGATATGTTGAAAATGCACCTACCCGGGTGCATAAAACCTACTTTGCCTTGATTTGTATAAGCTAATTATTCGTTTCATTGGGGGATATGTGTACGTCACATTCCTACTCCCATCCCACAATACTGGTGTGTCAGCATCACCACACACCTAGTTGAGTAAATCGGGATTCCATGCGGAGTGGACGGATGCGCTAGAAGTAAGCTCCCGCATCTGTTTCGAATGATGGCACACAACCGACTGTCATTCTGGGTTGATGGGACGTCTTCGAGACGTGTGCACACCATCCTTCGCTCTGCTTCATTCACCTACCTCTTCATCCACACAACGATTATCGTCAGGTAAGCTGTCATCTCAGTAGACGACGGAACCAATGCTTTTGCAACAGATCGCCCTTTCTTCCATCGAGGTGCTAACTTGTGAGCTTATTGTTCCAAGCATACCTCCGTTGTCGGATCGATCCCACTCTGATGGTTTTCACCTTTCGGTTCTTTGGAATACTGCTTTGGAGACAGTCGCCCACATCATTCCTAGAAGGACATCATGCACGCATACGTACATTGCTAGCCGTCTCTTGACATCTTGATTTGTCTGTTTGTGGTGGGAATGAGTTTGTATAGGTTGTGGGTTCAGCGTTGCTGACCAACATTGAATACTAGTGAATAACATAGCTCTCAGTGGTTTTTGATGGCCTTCTGCCCAAACACTAACAAATGATCTCTGCTCCGCTGCTGACAACGGTGGTTCTGCTGACTTTACCCGGTGATCTGACGTCGAGTTGTCTTAGCCCGTGGCGTGTTCGTCATCCTTGCCACGATGTTTTACTGGATATCTTTTAAATCGTTTTATTGTATCTACCAGGTGTTCACTCAGACATTAGTGCCACGTTTTTCATCTCACGAACGATGCGTGCTCGCGTTCGTCGCTTTGCTCGTTTTCAGTTGTCTTACTCCGGCTCTCTGAAAGTGCCGAATTCACAGATATCTCATCGTGGAGAGGGTCGTGGTTTGTACTCCACTATAATTTATGCTCGCTTTGTTAGCCAACCTCAGCGTCTCATCTCCACTTAATGTCAATTCTGCGTAGCCTAGTACCCTACTTGTGAATCGGTTCAGTCATTCCCAGCAGCTGAGCTCATTTGTCTTTTTAAGTAACTTCCGATTCATTGTTATCCTTCATATGGTTTTCAGCGATTGAAAAACTCAAACGGGACATCGTGTTTGCCGCAAGCCTCTACCTATAGGATGAGGGATCTCGGCGTGTACTATCGCGACTGCAACAAATACCTTTTCACCATTGTACAGCTATTGATGCATCTTTTGTTGTAAAATACAAGCATACTTGATTGTACGCATATGTGCAATCAATTACGTTTCCCATAGGGCATCTCTTCGGTGAATGGTTAGCTTGCACACAACTTGTTGTTTGTAATCACTAGTCCCTTCACCTGAAGGTTTTATTTCATTTTTAATTGTCATGGAAATGTGAGTACAGCTGTCGGCCTTATCGCGCCCCGACACTCGGATTATAGCCCGTCACCTTAATTGAACGCAAAGGCGACCACCAAACATGTCCGGTCTGGTCTCCATTACCTCGTTTAGAGTGACAAATTTGCCCACACTTTCGGTCACTCCTCGATCTTGTAGTAAAATATTGAGGACGTTTGATGAAAGAGTCAGTGGTTCGGATGTTAGACATTTTATTGTGGGGTTAGTAAATATCAGTTTCATACATTCTCTGTTCTTGGTGTATGTATGCCACTGTTGTTTTCGAACTGCATCGTATCTTGATCGGATAGATCACGTTGATTCTCACACGGTACACTACGGCCGCCTTAGTTGGATGCCAGACACCGCGTGTTCATACGTTCGAAGAACTTGGCTTTGTATGGTGTGTGTGTGTGTGCGTGTTCACTGCACTGCAAAGCCCGTTTGGCACTTCGTGTACCATCAAGTTAGGTCAACTCCATAATGATGTCTATGCACCCAGGACGAGTGGGGCCATGTAACAGTATCCTGACACATTGGGTGCACGCACATTTTGTAGGCATTTGACCTTGACCAGTGCATCGCGTGGACATAAATAAATAAATAAAATTTGTATATTTACCGACGGACGGTACACGGCCTCATAAGTGGGAGCGATCATTTGTATAGTGAACACATTTCATAACATTAAATAAAAGTTTACTGATAGCATTTCGGATCATGATTACTTTTCCTTGAGTCCTAGACCCGCGCAACTCATATATAAAATTTACGGACGTTTGTATCGTCAGGAGTAGATAATAAACGAAGGAACTATTAGGCTGCAAAGACACAGGATTTGGTATGGTATGTAATGACATGTAGTGGGTAAGCTAGCTGTAAGCTATTATCAAATGTTTTTTATACCAACTTCTGTCAATGTTTCTAGTGTTTGCTGTGACTCAAATATCTTCAGAGCATTTGGTGTAGTGAGGAAGGTCTGAAGGAGATTTCGAAAAGTGACATGGCTTGTACACATGCGTATCTGTAGGGGTAGTTTGTTCCACAGATAAGTGTATCTTACTAAGAAGAAATTCGACCGAATTTTATGACTTGAAAGGTTTGTATGTATCAAGTAGCCGCCATTACGTGTGGGGTAGACTGCAATCTTCCGTAGTTCAAGTGCGGTGCTGTCTGCGTAAATTCGTTGGTTTATAATGTTGAAGAAGAGAACGAGGTTGTTCTTTAAGCGTCTCAGCCAAAGTGGATCCAGCTGGAGTTTTCGACAGCGATCATAATAAGTCAGGTTTGAGCAGCGTCCCATGAGCAGTTTGGTAAATGATCGTTGGACATTTTCTAGAGCCGTTCTGTCTTTCTTTCTCAATTGGCTGTAAAGGATAGTACAATATTCCAGAGTCGGTCGTACGATTGTCTTGAATGATTCAAGTCGTACTTCAGGTAGGGAGAAAGTTCTGGTGATATATCCGCATAGCTGCCTTACTTTCGCAACCTGATAAAGAACATGTTCGGAGAAATTGAAAGAGTTGGAGTACCTAATTCCTAAGTCCCGAACTGAATCAGACGTTGGGATCACGTTTCCGGCAAGTATAATGGAGCCTTCTGGGATGCGGCATCTGTACCCAAGTGCTTGGGATTTCACTGCGGAGAACTTCATTAATAAGCGCTCACTAGCTATATTTAGTGTGGATAGGTCTTCACAGATGTTTCCCAAACACATATGTAGTTGGTCTGGATGAAATGAGTAAACCAGTTTGACATCATCTGCAAACAGGAATGGATGTCCATGTTTGATCGGGTCACATATATTGTTTACATAGATTAAGAAAAGTAGCGGTCCGAGCACACTTCCCTGGAAGACACCGCTGGTTATTTGCTTCGGTGTAGAATGTTGCTGACCAATTTTAACGACCTGAGTTCGACCGTTTAGATATGAGTCGAACCAGTTAAGCAGCGGATTTCCAATTCCATATGACTAGAGCAGACAGCAGTGGCTGGTGTGGCACGCGGTCGAACGCCTTTTGCATGTCCAACAGAATTATAATAATTGCCATTCCTCTGTCAATCATAGTCGTGATGTGATCGAGAAATTGTAGCTGGCATGTAACGCAGGAGCGTTTTGAGAGAAAGCCGTGCTGTGAAGGGTTGATCAGATCCAGTCTTGTAAGATATTGGACGATGTTCTTCTTGATCGTTAAGTAGATGGCAACGCACGATGAACTTCACAGACGACGCACCAACATCTCAGAGCCGACACAGAAATTACAATTACTACCGCAACGAGACTGGATCTTAACGTGGTGCAATGGTTTGTGTGAAAGCACGTTCCCTGTGAATGTATCTGGGGTCCGGAGAGATCCAGCTCCTAGATAGTAGACATAGACTCGATGTAGGTTCAGATAACCTTGGTTGAGGTGTTTAGATGAAAACGAAGAAGTGAGCAGATAGCACGTCCTACCCTTTAAATATGACGGATGGGTCCACCGTAGCAGCGCAATCCGTCAATAAGAGATTCTAAGCAAATATGCTTATAAAACGGGCATCTGAGCGAGATTTCTAGCAGTTTCTCACCTCCTTTTCCACCTTTGATCTGAGCTATCTGTAGCTGGACTGCCGTCTCCCCCTTCAATATAACACTGCTCCGAAATGGGTCGGTTCGCTGTAATTGCTTCGTGAAAGATTTTGGCATAGTGGGCATCAAATAACCCATCTTCAAACAATTCTAAGCATGTGTATCCTAGGCAACTTAGCTGCAGACTTCTCCCCACCAATCGAGGTAGCATCTTCAACACGTAATAGTAATACTCTAAAGCTGTGATTTTTAATCCACCCAATCTATGCCCTCCGCTGATTGGTGGAAAAACATGCGCACCGACGCTGCCCAAGTCAAACTATGCTTTATACACTTATATGGGCACATTTTCAGCTCGATGAGGAAACCAACACCCGAACTGTCATTGCATGCACAACCTCACACTTGTTTTGACTACTATTAGTCCACTTAGGGTGCGACCTAACTGTATATATTTGCAAAAGTCTACGAATAGACGTAATGCCATCAGAAACCATGGGATTCAAACGAAGATACAGAAATAGTAAAATAAAACACAACACAACAATGTCCATGGTTTCCTCAGAGGGCGAGATACTACCCGGTTGCCCAAGCCAAAGTAGGGTGTTGACTTAGGGGACACCACCCCGAGCCTTTGGCTGAATAGCCTGTCCGCAAGGCAGCGGAGCGAATTCAGGGAATCGCGCCCATTGGGAGCCGGTGACTGATTGCTCAGTTCATACGCCTTTCGTTTGTTCTTTTGTCAAACAGGGGCCCAATGCTCCCCAGAATTAAAGCATGACGTTGCTGGAATACAATGCTTCGCCAGGATGAAGCAAGGGGCCGTGACTTTATTTAGTTGCGAGTCACATTCGGCACGTCACAATGTTGTTAAACGGACATATGTGGCTTTTTATAGGGAGAACGCTTGCCAGGCGAAAACCCACCACGTCCTGGAACACTGCCGCCGCACTATTTGCTGGAACGGGAAAATCCCGAACCACCCAGCTAGCACCACGAGGAGGTTGTTCGGCAAGCCAGCCGCGACCTAACTGACTTAAGTGCAGCCCTGTAACTGCCAACGTGGCCCAGGTTTGCCCATAGATTCACGTGCCAACGGCTTGTGTGTTTAGCCAACCTCACTTATATGGGACTGATACGTATTCTGGAAATGTCGATCCTAATGTATGCTCGTCACACATATCACAAAGCGTTGATTGGTACCCACCGAACACAGGACGCCAACATGATTAGACAACAGAGGGACTTTTATAAGTATGCGATGTCATATTACTTTCGAAAAATCAGGATTACACTTTTCTTATCAAGTGGTAATAAGTAAATTGCAAATCCATTATTAAAACGATCATTTTGAATAGGGTGTAATCCAGAACGTACCTTTCAGTAACGCCTTTGAACAGTGTATTCATGTATTTGCTTGGTAACGCTTCGCTTTTGACAGAGAAGCTTCCTCAGGGCAAAGTGCCGTTGGAAGTAGGATTTTATCAATCGGCAACGTACTGAACAAGTTTCAACGGAGAAAATGTAGCGCACTTCTGGTGGTAAGTGAAAGGACCTATCTCTCGAAAGGCACTAGGGTGATGTCACGTTTGTGGACAGCAGCGAAGATTCAGAAGCAACAACGATATCCCGAATACAAATCAAAACGCGGTCAGTCGTTGGCGTTTAAGATAAAATTTAAATAAATAGCCAGGGTGTACCATCCAATGCGACCTGAAGATCATCTCCCCACAGTCCTGATAAACGTTGCAATAGCTCACTTGTTCGTTTCTAAAGCCCCAGTGTGCGGATATATTTGGGGGCAACTCGTTTGAAAACATTTGACTTGTGGAATTCCCAGTACGCACAGAAAGTACGTCCACGCACAAGCGTCTGAAATCCTCGCTGATTGGATAGCTCCAACAGAAGGCTAGTGAAAAAACTTACTTCTCATGCAGCGTGAGATGAAGCCAGGCATCCGGTGACAGAAAATTTGACCAGTTCCAAAGCGAAATTCCGGAAAATCAAGGATTTTTCGATTAGCTAAACAAGGATATGAGTACATTGAGTGAAATCTGGGGAGGATTGGGCCCCTGTTTGGCACCTGACCAAACGATAGGCGTTTAAACCCAGAAATCGAAATGAGTATGGCTGGAAAACTCTCCCAAGAGCAGATCCAGGGTAGTGGACTACATCCGACGAGATGAAAATGCGACGATATTCAAGGGTCCTGCGCAAAACGATATGGTCGATTGAACTGGTGTGTTCCACAATGGAGTTCGACGAATTAGGCACGCCTGCTTGTGCCTGCGTACAGCGAGCGTGCCGCATGATAAGTAACGTGAACATTAAACGATAGTGAAACACGTGTTTGATGTTGTGGGAAACTGTCCAGAATGGCACGATTTTCCAACATATGAAGAACGGACTTTGCATACGGCCAAGATTGGTGAATACGTTGGCATCAAGGGTTGAGAGCTCATTAGAGGTCAGGGAGGGAACTCTACCTTTGCACTTGTGACAGAGAAGAATGACTCAGCGTGCGGTACAGATTCCAGGTCGCTTTAATTTATATTAATGGAATTGAGCACCAACAATCATTTCCTGCATTTGAACAAACAGCTCTTAGATCCGCTATATCTTATCGCCTGTTTCTAACAAGATGGCAAATCGTCGTAGTTAGCCAGGCCAGAAATTCCCTAGTTAACATTTTTATGGCTAAAGGCCGACCTGCTCTTATCGCTATTGGGAACTTAGCCCAACCTGTCGTAGATGGTTTAAGCGTCTAAGTAGCCAACTCTATGCTCCTAATACAAGTGGTCGCTCTCAACCAAGTTGGGACGCCCTCGAATTGCGTGCACGGTAACGAAACAGCATTTGATGCCTCCAGGAGTCAGTGATGTGGCTCATTCAGGCGTCTGCCTTGCAACCACTACATTCCAGACAGGATCAAGTCCTCGCCACCGATTGCGTTTACGTCAGTAAAAAGCAGCCGTGTAACGATGTCATTTCACTTTTCAGGCAACTATTTAACTGCAGGATTCGCTCAGTTGATGGGAACCCAGATGAACTCTTATTAACCGGACTGTGTTAGCCCGCTTAGTGCTAAGAAATAAGAAGCCGGGTTTCAGATGAGCACAAAAAGCCAATACTTTTGACATTAAGAAACTAGTAGTAATCAAAGTGGTGATAAGGGACATACAAACCGGTATCTGATCAAAGGCACAAGTTGCATAAAAATAAGCAAAAAGATAAAGGAAATATTGCAAGGAGAAATTAATCAAAACCGATCGGCAGAAAAAATGTTGGTGATGCGGTCGAGAGATAAAAATGTGTTCGATTAATGGCGCAAAATTCTGCCCCGAGAATCATATTTATAAAATCCTTCACCGGACTTTTTGCCCAGCTTTCCCTCGGAAACAAGCTTGTGCAACAGCGTCGGACACACGAACATTGGATCGCCTGGGAGTTGTTCAAAGAAACTGTCGCAGATGTGTTTCATGGTGTCCAACCCGATCAAGTCCATCAGTTCAAACGGACCCATGGGGTATCCAGCGCCCAACTTCATGCCCACGTCCACATCCTGGGTGGACGCACAGCCCCGTTCCACGAGCCGTACTGCTTCCAAAGCGTAAGGCACCAGCAACCGATTGACCACGAAACCGGGTGTGTCGCTGCAGGCGATGGGAACTTTGTCTAATGAGCGAGCGAACTCCATTAGAGACTGTAGAGAAAGATATGAAAATGAGGGTGTTTATTGCCAAAAGTGGAGTGAGGGAACCACAGTACAGCAAATACACGTCGTGGGAATCAAGTAGGTTGAGACAAGAGAACCTGATTTGCCAAGTAACTGACGCAGAGTTGCCCTCTAAGCAAAATAAGATGATTAACGGTTGTGAGTAGAAGCTTGAAAGAATGAATAGTGTAGATGAGCTATTTTATAAATGCATAAAAAGTGACATGTTGGACGGAAAATTGCTGGAAGTTGTGAAGCTCCCTACGAAGACGAGACGACCACTTTTCAGTGCAGAATAAACCGCCGTGCCAAATGTGTCGTTATCACGTGGTAAAGAATCCGTGGCCGTTTGCGGGTACCGCCTGT